AGTGCGAGGAAGCTGTTGCCAGCATGCTTTGCTGATAGCCAGCGATGTATGTTGAAAGCAGCTTATCCACATAGATTCTATAAAGTGCACGTCACTGCCGGTGACACGCCCACCCCAACTCACCGATATCGAGTATAACTGGCAGGAAAGGATGCGAGACAGGAATCCCCATGAGGTCGCCGCGCTAACGAAAGTAGGTCACCGCACGCGGCGGCTATAGGTGTTTACAGGCCAGGTGGCAATTTGCTAGAGCTAAGCAAAAACAAACAAGACTACTAGAAGAAGAAGGTGTTGTATCGATCATCCAGAGAGGCGGATCTTAAACTTGGAAAATGGCCATGTTTCAAACTGCAACGTTGCGCAGCGACCAAGTTTTAGCGCGGCGGTCGAGGGGACTCCTGGCCGTCTCCCGGCAGGAAATGGTAAAAGGATAAAGCATGAAGCATTTGCCATTGATCAATACCTTTTTGGGATGTGGCACGCATTCTACTTCCATTTGTACAATCGCAGTGGCTTTTGAATGCGATGTGGCCTATACAATGACTTGCGGGGGCCAGCCGATGTACAAGTCAGTGTTTTTTATCCTCCCAGACAAGTCTGGTACCAATTAACCGACCTCGGAGGGATGGAAGGCTTGGTTGGCCTGTGCGACTCACGACCCAGGATTTGATCCCCGGACGGCTCGCGTGGTAAGCGCGCCACTTGTCACTACACCACTTCCGCGCAGGAGATGGTGGTCAGTGGAAACTGTACTGATAAAAGTAGCGACAACTAGGGTGCACTCAGTTGAACTGAACCGGCTGTTCAGCAACTGAAATGTCCCATTCCTAGTCCTTCATGAAAGGAATGAGGAGTAGTTGAGCAGCTAAACTATCCAGACTCAAACCACTGGTTCCTATCAGGGTCAGGCACAAGTTGCTTAGTGATTGGTCGCATTTCATTCTTACACCGATGCTAACGGCAGAAAATTCATTAAACCGCTAATTTATTAGGGTTCAATATCAATGCAACATGTTACGAAATTATGATAAGTATTGGGTTTTCTCATAATTCTTGTCGCATTCCTATTCAGTTTCTTCCTTCCGTTTAAAACCGTTTCATTGCGAAATACTGGGCCTGTGGTCATTTTTGATGAGCGCCCCTTGCACCCTCAATTGGGAGTGCCTCCGTACGTTGTTACCAGGGTATTGTAGCAGATACCTGAGCGCGGCCGATGCACCAGCACACGCCATCAGTATGGCAAGAACTGCTGCAGAGTGAAGTTTTGATGGAAACCTTATGATCCGGCCGACCATAAGCGGGAAGCACGCCTGATCACCTGGGGAAAACCCATTCTTGGATGGCGAAAGCAGAGTCTTCCCTAATCGGTCACCGGTGGAAATGAGTCATGAGCAGGGTGAAAATGTCGAGTACGTGCGCAAAAGTACGGCCCACCCCTCCCACGAAATCGAGATCCTAGCACGACCCCCAAAACAGAAGCAAATTAATTCAACATATTAATCAAAATAAATCCTGCAAAATCAAAAAAAAATTCTGCAAAATAATGTTATGGACGCCTCATCTTGTCATCTGTGCACTGTCTTTCATCGCTGCACACTTTTGTGTACAGGGTGCGCCAAAATTACGGAGACAGCGATTTCGAGTCGCCTAGGATGAACATGCCACAATTCCAGGAGCCAAAAATGTAGTAACGTTCACTGTTCAGTAATCAATCGTAAACAGCTGCCAAATCTCAGGAATTCCTTCGTTGGCACTTATACGGGCCTTGAGAAGCAGTGAGGAACCATCGGCGGTGGCACGCAAGGTAGGCGTAGAATCTGTTCTACGTATTCTAAAACAACCACGTTTAGCGCCGCACGCTACCGCGCGCATTAAACGGAAGGTCGAGATTAGACAGGACAGGCAACAAAGCGCTAGATTCACCGCTATCATAGGTTCTTTATCTTAGCAGAGGTCACCGTTTGATACGCGCAGTGGAGTGGGGAGCTGAATTGGTGTCTGTAAACAACCACCATGCATCGAATGCCAGTGTTAATTTAGCGGTCAGATTGTATGTGATGTTAAAATACAAACATCCAGCACTCCTTACCGTATTTTTGAACTATACACTATACATTTTCAGGACCTCTGAGGGGCATAGCGGTTAAGTGGTATTTCGGGCTGATAATAACAACGCAAATGAAAAGAATATTGAAATGAAATGCTTTATCTAAAGTCTGGTTTTGAGTGACCTCTATATTCTGCGCATATCGTTATTATCGGCGCTTATCGGCCGTTGTTTTCCTTTTTCCACCATATATGTTCCCGTCATTACCCCCCTCAACACTTCATACCAACGCCTCACTGATGCTGGGACGCGCCGCTATGGATATCGCAGAATTGGCGTTCTGGCGCCTCTTATTGGGTCTTATCAGTCGTTATTACTTTGCGTCTCCCACCAAAGATGTCCCGTCCTACCCTCTACATCACTTCTTGGAGTCAACGCCTCACTGATTCTGGGACGCGCGCTATGGATATCGTGGAATCGCCGTTTTGGCGCCTCTTATCGCGATTTTATCAGTCGTTTCACTTTGGGTCCCCACCAATATGTCCTGTCCACCCCCTACAACATATTCAAAATACAGCGCTCCACTGTTGCACCGACTGGCGCTATGAATTTCCGGTCAGACACACACACGCAACACACAACCGCTTAGGCGATTATATATATTATAGTAGGATTCTTCAAAATAATCTCCAAAAATATAAAAGTTCCGTGCACGTTTCAGCTTGCAGAATCAATTTTACAGTGTAAACCATTTTTAAAATGATGAATTCGACGAAATTGGCTTTGACCCAGTTCAGCACCACCCTTGCCCTATGGGAATCCTTTCTTATGAAAGATCAAACAATATTTTTTCAAATCTTGAGATGGCAATTTGCTTGGGAATTCTCAAGTAATCTCCTTAATGTCCATCTCTCGTGACATTCGGCGGAACGAGTGCGCGAAGTGACACCAATTCTGTTGCGCACCATGCTGACATTGCTCATGGCGCGTCTCGGAACGCAGCCTTCCCATCCAGAATGATGCATTCGGTTCCTTACTCCTTGGTAGCGTTAGAGCATTCCGGATTGGTACTCAGGTAAAACCAAAACGACTAGATAATCTTGCGTGCCACAAACACTCAAAGTGAAAGTTAAGTGATCTAGAAATAGCGGCAGAATCATTTAGCCATCGTAACAATCATACATATTGGTGGTCAAACAAGATAATTATGAACAGGTCAACATAAAAAACCATAATGAGCGCAGCAGTAAACAGCAGCTTTGAATAGTGGTCCCAATAGTGCGCGGAAGTGCTGTCTCCGTAATTTTGGCGCACCCTGTATTTACTGAAATATCGACTCGAGGAAAGAGGCATTAACATTGTGTGACCTCAAAGTCGGGTTTTTTTCAGAAATGCACGGAAATCCTGAAGGCACGGGTTGCGATTTAATCCTAATTCTGCTTGAGTACATCGAAACAACCGAGTGTATCAGTTAACGGCCGATTCAGCGGCAGCTGCGGCGCCATTGTCACTGGGTCAGATTTGTTGAAATCCCGAAAAAAAAACCGTCGAAATCTATACCCTCGATGAAAAGGTTGCATTCCTCCATTTCATAACCTCTGAAGCGGTTTGAGGTAGGGTTAGACAGAGCTGGATTTCGCGTTTCCAAGAAGTATTGGAAATGCTCTGAAAGCTTTCCATGCAGAAAGATAACGCGAGTTTTTGCCACTTCAAGAGCAATATCTCTCTTAAAACGTGAGATCCTAAAAAAATGAAGACAGTTTTGAAAAGCGGAAGGTTTGCGCTTTCTGATGGTCTTCTCAGCTTTCTTCTACATTCCCTAATTGAGAAGACATTTGCGTCGAGTATGTATCGAGGACGGTTCCGGCCAACTGAAAATCCGCTCCCTTCTTCACCATTGCGTGGTAATTGTTGACGCTTGAAATGGGTCTTGAAAGCATCCCTTCAACATAAGCAATAGGTAAAGGGGCAATCGTCATCACCGAATTTTGTCTGAGTATATATCACAAAGTAATAAACATTTACCATCTTCTAGCCGTTCCCATCCATTACCACTTCTACAGCAATTCTCTCGGAGATTTCACAACATAGATATGATAGGCATATAAGCGCGCCGCGGCCACGAAGAAGCTTCAGTCCAACCGTCCGCTCTTCAGATTAGGTGCGCTTTCGTTCTCTTTGGTGCCTTCTTGCTTTCTAGCTGTAATCTCTTGTTTCAGTACAGTGAGGTGGTGCTTATATTGGTGCTGTGGTGCAGTTCGTGCTTATATTGGTGCTGTGGTGCAGTTCGTGTTTATATTGGTGCATTGGTGCAGTTCGTGCTTATATTGGTGCTTTGGTGCGATCCGGTGCTATCTGGTGCCTTTCTGACAGTTTGAGTGCGATCTGGTGCAGGTAGATTTCTGGTTTCTGTTATTGATTTCTGCTTATCTTTGTAACCCTTTTTCATCTATATTTACTGTATTTGTACTTGTATTATTTTATATCTAGTTGGTTTTGATGTTATTTGTGCTTTTATTGATTAGTAGTTAGTCGTTACTCGTTTAATTACCCAAGTTTGAGGTCTGGCAATAAATCAGTTACCGCGTGGCAAAGTGTTCTATCACATAGTGCATCGGCACTAGAGGACCAGAGCCGTATTTGAGGAAAGGATTGCGCACGAAAATTGAGGTGTGCTAACTTAAGGAACTTCGATTTTTTTTCGTTTTCTTGAAAAAATGGGACAGACCCTCGTAGGCTTGACATACGGATTACGGTGCTTACCTACATAAGAGTGGATTAGAGTGCGACCCTGCCAAATTGCGGATAAAGGTGCGATAGGAAGCTAACCTTTGTGTGCTAGTGGGGATATCGGTCATGACATACTTTGAAGGCCCGTGGCGTTCTCACAAGGAACACGAATACTTTGGTCCAAGAATTGAACCACGTTGAACAACTTCTCACGGGACCTGCCATGAGTTCACCAACAACCCTCCTCCAAAACCTCAGAATTGCGGAAACTAAAGTGAAATCCGCTTATAATTCGTTGGAAAGGTCGTTTTATGCCTTCACGAGTACTGTTGATGGCCTTGAAACGCCTCTTAATGAAGAAGAGGAAAGCAAGGTCTCAGAATATGTGTCGAAAACGGAGGATGTCATGGCACAAGCTAATGGGATACTCCTCCAAATAGAAGGGAAGAAGGAGGAACTCGGTGCAGTGCAGCAGGAGTCCTTTGAGGGCCATGCAACTGGAAGGTTTGAACTTCCTAGGATACCAATGCCCCAATTCAATGGAAAAGGATGGCAATGGGACAACTTTTGGGAGCTTTTCAACGCTACAGTGCACTCATTACCGCTTACCGACCTACAGAAGTTCATATACCTGAGAAGCTCATTAAAGGGCGAAGCACGGGAGGCAATCGCACGCTACCAGATCACATCAGCCAATTACCCGTTGGCGCTCGCTCACTTGAAAGAAAAATATGGGAACGCGAGCGAAATCATCTCTGAACTCCATCGACGACTCGAAAAATGGAGCGCGAGAAGCAGCACCCTTAAGGATCAGCGCCAACTTTTTGACCAGTTATCAGGAATAATTGCTCAACTAGAGGCGAAAGGTCAAAACCTCGATAATCCCTGGTTAATGACAAAGATCCTGTCCAAGTTTACAGAGGACCTCCAAAGGCGGGTGCTCAAAGAGAAGGTCTCTGACGATACCAGTTGGAACCTTAGACGACAGATGCACTGTCTGGACATGGTACTGAAACAGGAAGAAAAGATAGAATTGCAACTTCCAAAGAAGCCAGAAATGAAAATGCCAGACAGCAGCAAGAAAGGGTATGGCAGAACAAAAGAAACCAGGAATTCTAAGTTCTGCTTCTATTGCGATGAGAAAGACCACTGGTCTACGCATTGTACCGCTATCAAGGACCCAAGGAAACGCTTGCAACACCTGAAAGATACTAACAGGTGTACCGGATGCGGTTCTCGATCTCATATGTTGGCAGAGTGTAAATCCAAAGGATGCCAAAAATGCGGTAAAAAGCATCACACATCCACATGCTTCAAAGGTGAAGCATCAAGCTTTGAAAGATCAAAACTGAAGGGCGATGATGCAAAAAAGAAAACAGCATCTGCACGCCATAACGTGGTAGTTTGCAGCGAAGAGGAGAACCCAAGAGTTCAAGAAAGCTCTACGGAAAGCAGTGAAGAAAACCACACTGTACTGACCGTGAAGCGTTCAGCTACCAGAGACGAAAATCACGAAGGTGGCAATATTTTTTTACTATCAGGAACTCTTCGCACAAAACTTCCGCAATCAGATGAATTCATCGGTTTGACGGTCCTACTGGACACAGGAGCAGACCGTTCCTTCATTGATGAAACCTTAGTACACGACCTGGAACTGCCACAACAAGGCAGTGTTCGGATGAAGCTGTGCACTTTCGGGAGTCAGAAACCAACCACGGTTAAGTGTATAAGGACTCGGCTGACGATGTGGGACGTATGCGGCAAGCAACATGATCTCAACCTGTACGCACACAAAGCCCTAACCCAGGGTAATGCACAAGGGGTCTTGGATACCGAAGACCTCAAGTTTATAAAGGAGAAGAGAATCAGGTTGAGCCTCCCCCCGCAAGGAAATGTCGGACCAAGCCTAGGTCATCATCGGATGCGATCAGTTGTGGAAATTTATCAGGTTTGATGAACCACAATTTACGTACTACCTTCCGGACTGGTACTTATCCCCACCCTAATAGGGTACATGTCTCTGGAGAAAGGTCCAATCCGAGGATATTCCGACAGCTACGTTCCCAATCTTTACCGTCCAACGCAGGATGATTTGGATCCTTGAAATACACTGGACTTCAGACATCAGAGATCAGGAAACGAATTCACCGGTCCAGAAAGGGTGGAAAAGGAGCAATAAACGCAAGAGTACTGCAGGAATTAACGAGACGATCGAGAAGCGTGAAGAAGGTTATTTGTGAAGCTTCCCTTCAAACACGAACACGAATTCTTGCCGATAACAGAGCGCTAGCATTGAGACGCCTCCAAAGTGTTCTGAAGATGTATAAGGATAAACCGCAAATACTCCAGCAGTACCATGGCGTGTCCAAGAACAGATAGGAAAGAACATTCTGGAAGCTGTGACGAGTCAAAAGACACCTCGCGGCAACTGAAACATATTCTCCCACATCAACTCGTCATCACCAGAGAAGGACACTACCAAATTCAGGGTAGTTTTTGATGCATCGGCCCATTATAAAGGTCGCCCATCACTAAAACGACAATAATCCACCAAGGGGCCAACAATACTCCCCAAATATACGGTATTGTTGCGGTTCAGAGTAGGAAAGTATTCTGCTATCGGACGTGGAAAAAGCTTTTCTCCAAATACACCTTCATGAGGATGACCGAGACGTCACTCGGTGTTTGTGGGTGAAAGATATCGAACAGCCCCTTTCCGAGGATAACCTTGCCGTCTTCAGATTTACACGGGTCACATTTGGGATAAATGCATCCCCATTCCTTCTGAGTGGGACTATTCTGTTTCACCTCAAGAACAATGTGTCTGATCAGGTCATGGCAAACGAAATTGCGTCCAATTTGTACGTCGATAACTGTTGTTCCTGGAGGCAAGCTCAACAAATGAGGGTATAAAAAAGTACGAAGACGTGAAGTCACTCTTCAAGGACATCAACATGAACATACGAGCGTTTGTCTCCAAATGACCCGGAATTATGACCGCTATAGCGAAGGAGGATCGGTCCGCGAACCTTGTTCCAAAGGTCTGGGAATACCATGGAACGCAACTACTGACAAATTTGAACTTTCTGTCAAGATCAAAGACAGCACAGTCGTCAGTAAACGGATTGTCGCTCAGCAAATCGCCTCGTTTACGATCCTTTGGGATGGTTCATACCTTTCTCGTTAAAGCCAAAAATTTTCAACAAAAGTTGTGGAAAGAACGCTATGAATGGGATCAACCACTAAACGAGAACCATGCGGACAGTGGGCCGAAATTGTGAAGGACATCTCAGGATATCACTGTCAACTACCGAGACGGATAGTCGCCATATAGCCCAAGCACACGATCGTTACATTTTCGGATGCTAGCACGATGGCCATGGCCGCGTGCGCCTATCTCATTGACGAAGATGAGGCAAAAATTCCTTATGGCGAAATCTAAAGATAGCGGACGCCAAAAAAACCTACCACTATACCGAAAATGGAACTGAATGCTATGGCAATCGCGGCTCGCTTGACACATAATATCCTATTGAGCGTCCGTCCGCTACTGGAGATAGAAAGTGTTCTTTTCCTGTGCGATTCTGAAATCGCTCTAAATTGGCTACAAAGTTCAAAGCATCGACAGGGCACTAAGGCACACTAGCAGATATGTGTCGAACAGGATAAAGGTGATTCACAGAATTGTACAGGGAAATAGAAAGCTTGTCTATAAATGTGCAGATAGGATCTGTGGACACAAAGCAAAATTTGGCGGACTGCGCAACGAGGGGGTTGTCATCATCAGAATTTTCAAACCATGACTGGTGGAAAGGACACACCCTCAAAGAAATTCAAAACAATGGCTTCAAACTATACACTATCCAGGAAGAAGATGGGGAACCGGAAACAGTAGTTACAAACTACGTGAAGGCTATCGCAAATGAAGACGAAACGGTGAAGGAAATAGTGGAGCTATCAGCCTACAACGAGCTCCGAAAAGTGCGTAGAATAGTCGCTTATGCCCTGAGATTTTTGAAAGGCATCCACAGTCGATTGCAAGGTGCATTGAAAGAAAAACTGCAAACTTCCTTGCCGTGGATTGCGCGAAAAGTGGAAAGCCAAAGCTTGTCGGCCACAGAAACGAAGGACGCTGAACTTATCCTGATCAAGCAACATCAAGCGGCACATCTACAGTCTCAATACAGGAAAGAACTTGTAAAAAATCTGAACGTCAGAGAAGACAAAAACAAAATTTTGAGGGCATATGGCAGACTAAACAAAGCGGATCTTGATGCAGACGCAAAAAATCCGATTGTCATCGCCCCCAAATCGGAAATAAGTCGCCTAATAATAATAGAGTCCCACGGTGCATACCACAAGAGCGTCGCGCACACAATATCGGATATCCGTCAAAGATTCTGGATACCTCGACTAAGGGAGCAGGTGAAACAACACATACGAAAATGCATACCGTGCCAGAAGCTGAATGCTCTACCGTACAAGTATCCGGAGATGCCAGATCTGCCGGCGGCACGTGTAACAAGAACACGACCATTTCAGCACATTGGATTAGACTACTTCGGACCAATCTCGATCAGAGAAGAAGGAGAAAAGGAACCATCGCAAGTGTATGGGTGCATATTCACATGCACGGTGACCCGCCTAATACACTTGGAAGTGGTTTCTGATGGAACAACACAGAAATTTTTGAATGCTTTCCGTAGATTCGTTGCTCGAAGAGGGAAACCGGAAACAGTAACTTGCGACAATGCTCCGGTATTCGTATTAGGTGCTCAGATTCTCAATGATGGAAAAGAATCACATCGAATAGATGAGAACGTAGCAAGGGAGATGAGTGATAAAATGATCGAATGGCATCATATTACGCTTATTCGCCCTGGAAAGGCGGATTTTACGAGAGACTCATTCATTCAGTTAAACAGGCGATGACAAAGACTGCGGGGAGAACAATTCTAACAAAGGACACATTAGATACTCTTCTCACAGAAATTGAAGGCTGAACACGAGACCATTGACCTACCAAGAGACTAACATGGAAGACACCTTCAAGGCACTGAGGCCTATTGACTTCATCCAACGAGATATAGACATTACTCTTCCAGAGAACGACGAATCGGATGAGTCGGACAGCACATACATGCCTTCAACAGAAATGGCACGTCTGCAGACCCGACTACAGGCGCAAAAGGCGTTGAGATCTCCGCAGATGTTGACAGAGAAGTTTTGGGAGATATGGCAGAATCACTATCTGGCAGCTCTTCGAAAGCAACATCGTCGATATATTAGATGGAAGGAAAGCATGCACAACATCCCCTTGTGAAGTGAAAATTGTAACTGTGAGTTGACCCTGTCAGAAGCAAAGTCAATGGACAGATGCAAGATTAAGTAAACTTGTCACTAGCAGGATGGAGAAGTAAGAAAGCTGAAGTGCCTTTGTGCGAAGCACACTATGAGGAGCCATAGAACACATTATATCTCGGTTAGAAATCACAGGATATAACGCGGATAAAGATGCAGCGACCACCCGTTGATTTGAGAGTCTACGTATCCTCCGCTTAGGGGACATACAACTTACGCCCGAGAGCGATCACGGAGGCAACCCAAACGACACAGCCGAAGTACGGTTACGTCTGGTCATGGGCAAGAAGACAAAGAAACCTCGTACATGCCATTATTCTTTATCTAAAAAATGGTTCTGGTACTTGTTTACATGGCAACTCCAGCAGCACTGGCCATGCCAAAAGGGAGCTGAATGATGCACCATCAAGAGTTGCATCGAAATTTTCTCACAGCACATTGATAGAATGCCGCCGAAAGAAGGAGTATTTCTACATGCACCTGGACTATCAGAATTTGAGCTATGCGTGGTTCTCGAGGCATTGAAGAGCATTCTCCCACATACAAACAATCATCATATTACATCGAAATACTTCCTCCACGACTATGAATAGACTGGAAATCGTCCACGAGAATGAATCATCATCGTGAAAGGATGTGCCTAGCGCTACATCTGGCCGGCAAAATCACGTGCACGATATGAATCTGCCAACCTTTAAACCCGCAATGTTGGCCAGTAATCAGCGATCCTGGAGTTGGGGCATTACTGTAGCTCATTATCATCATTTGCCAAGCGATGTGCTGCGTCCGGTTGTCATAGTGACCATCCAGATCCTTTTCCAAAGAACTTTGCGGAATATGTTATTGTCTTATACATTGATCATCAATGCTTATGTAACATAGCAGGCGTGTTGCATCGGAGATCGGCACCACCGCACTAGGATATTAGCTCTCTGTTCAGGATGTCTAGTCGCATGTCAGATAGTCCAACTCGCTTTCCATCCATATGCGAAGCTGTACCGTCTCGGAGGAAAAGAATATGCAACAATGGAATGACGGCAGTGCTGAAGTTTAACAGCTTCAAAAAGGATGGCATGCTTTCGACTTTGCGCAATGAATCTACCGTTTTGGAGTTACAGATGACTTGGGAAACGCACATTTGCTTTGCGAGAAGTAGCCTAATCTACACGAGGGACGCAACAAGAAGCTACGCAAGGGTTGCCCGAACAAGGGTTCCGTGCAAGAAAACAAATGCGCAGATGTTAGCCCAGACAGCAAAGTGAAAGAGCTTGACTCGGAAACAAATCCCAGGAATAACCGGTTGTTTCGAATCCTGTGAGGGCTTGGCTGTGATTGTTTCTGGCCAAGTTTGGCTGTTCTGTATTACCGAAGTTTACGCTGTTCGGCAGATTGAAAGAATCTTTGAGATTTTCTCATGCAGTCGCTGGCGAAGAACGAGTTAAGGTTAAGGTGCACATAACACCCAGCTGAAAGGACATCCAGAACGATATGTTCTAGCGTTTACAGCCTAACATTCCGTGCAGCTTTCTTCGTTGAGCTTTACCCCTGAGTGTGCTAGCGCGTGCCACCGATACCGGCTTTGAATACGCGCTTTCATAAGTACCGGGATTCCACGCATCATGGGACGCAAACAAACAACCTATCGCTTTATGTGCTCATCTTAGCGACACGCGAAAGACCTGCTTGCAGTCTGCAAGACACCTGTAACTGCACTCAGCGGAATTTACCAGTTTTTGCAGATGCCAAGATGACGACATGTCCCAACATTTTTAGGATATCAGTAATGGTGCTTGAGTTATACGACCAGTCTTGAAACTGACGAGAAGCCTCAACACATGCTGTAATAGCTCACATGAACAAAGGAGTATCTGCGAAATCTTACTGATAACAGACGAAATCTGGATGATAGCGCAATGGATTTCTATGGAAAGATCAGTGTACCGTTGACGATCCTCTATTGCTGGATGTTACAACTGCAAGAAGGGCGCAACAGCTCTTATTCAGTGTATTTCCAAATCAGAAGTTATATCAGCAAAGTTGACTGCGAAATCGAATCTTTACTGCAGTACCGGCTCTCCATCCTGGAGATTCTTCCCAGCTACGATTTCATCTCTCAGCGGCAAAAACAGATTAATTTCAGTGAGATGCGGATCGAAGCCATCTTCCATTGAGATTACCGGAATATAAAGTATGTTCACAAACGTGCATGACGGCTTCCAAGTACTCCTTCAACATGACCACAACAACACGTCAGGATTCCAGTGGCCAGAACTTCGGCACATAGTGACGTTTATTACATTGGTACACAAATTGTGATTATCACACTGCAACGGTCAGGAATAGCGCTCATCTTGACCTACTCTTCTCTAGCTACAGCATGCAAGCGGATAGTATGCACTGTTTCAAAGCGCTTTTAGTAGTCACCAACATGGATATGAAGCTGATTTCCGCACAATAAGCTATGGCTCTAATTTCTACACTGCTGTAACAACGCACAAGGAGCTATGTGAAAAAACACTTTGAATTTCGAACTTACGTACGTGCAACGTTGGGAAAAAAGTTAGAGGATATAGTGGCATGAGATTTTCGGTATAATAATTTTGATTTCTATATACACATCAGATACGCTATTCCAGTAATCATGGCGCAGAAAGAGACGTACGAACGAATTGAAAAGGCAAAGAAGCTACCACGACAAGCAAGCTGATTGATGTACTCAATTTAAAAGATCGTGCCGTAAGATTAGCACCAAATCTACCATCAAAGAAAGTTCCAAGGAAGATCCGAAAGTTCATTCGTGAAATACCGTTTCACAAAGGAAACCACCTCCAAGATGCTTTCACAGAGGTTCAAGGGTGCTCGAGACCAGCCACTATGCGCGGCGGGGCCCCCTCCTACAAGTCGAAGATGGAAGGTGTTCTGGCTAAAAGCAAACCACATCAAAGGGGTGCATACGAGGCGCGATTGGAAGGCCTCGCCGGCTCATGCGGCGTACAAGTTCTCTAATTTGGCAGAAGCAGCTACTGATGAGTTGAGACAGCCAGTTCTACGATACGGACATCGAAGGAGTGTCGATAGAACCGGCTCTATCGTTGAGTACACAAGGAAGAGATGGATTTCCTTGATAAACTGCTGCGAAATATTGAGGGAGAATATAAATGCGGAAATCCAGTTGTCATTTGGAACAACATACAAACCCCATTGCAGAGCTAATTGAGATCGTCAGCGATTTTGCCAAAGAAATGACGAGTCGAATAACAATCTGCAGCAAGAAGTGGAACCAAAAAAGGCAGATTCAAGAAATCGCAGAGGTGGTGAAGGCGATACGAGAAGACATCGCCATCCTCAAACCAGAGGCAGCTGCAACCAGAAGCGCAAAGGCTCCTCACGGAGCAACACGTAACGAAGGACTGGGTGCAAGACCACAGTTCTAAAGAAACAACGAGGGCCGCAGAATTCGACGAGGGAGAGCAAGATCAATGACCAAGGATTCGGTGGCAAGACACAGGGCCGCAGAATTCGACGAGTAGAGGAGATCAGACCAAGGATTTGGTGCAAAGACAGGGTCAGAGAATTCGACGAGTGAAAGCAGGTCAGACCAACCGAGGACCGGGATCCAGGCAAGACCACGTGGCCTAGAGGAGGCGAGGAAGTAAAGAAGACTTACTGGATCTTGGAGATGATTATGACTGTGAGCAGGAATTCGAATGTCGGGATGATGAGACTTTGTGCCAACGAGGACCAATCTAACAGACATCACGAATCCAAGCAGGAGACTTCGGCAGGAAGAAAGGCGAAGCCGATCGAAGCGCAAGAAAGACACGGTGGACAGTCTACCGGATCCTCTTGAGCCCGAAAGGAAACGAAGGAAGCTCGTAGAAGAGCTCGAATGGTTGAGCAGAGACATCCGAGCAAAACGACATTGTCCCCGACGTACAATTGCGTACATTATGGAAATG